AAAATGGGGAGTAAGGTGAAACTGAGCAGTGGTTTGTCAGATGAAGTTAGTGAGGGATAACCCTAGACAGTGTACCAAATGGTTGGTACCGTCGGCAATAGTTAATTCTGCGATTCCTCATCACTAAGGGAGTGCCGCATAGAAAATTTTGACGACTGTCTTCTAGGGGGGGGGGGGGGTATATACAAGAAGTGAAACGGTAAAGTGCGCTAATTCTCAAAACAATATTTTTTTCGACCATCGATCCGACTGGCCCTCCCACTCATGGAAAACTTCTCACCGGGCCGATCCGACTGGCCTTCCCTCTCATGGAAAACTTCTCACCGGGACCCACTTCACACGCGGAAGGAGGATGAAAAACTTCTCACCTGGACCCGTCTCAGGGCACATGTCAACCGGAAAGCTTCTCCCTCCTTCCTTTTTTCTCCCTCCTTCCTTCTTTTTCTTCCTTCCTTCTCTGATCCCTCCTCCTTTACCTTCCCCTTCAACTGCTGGACTGGTAGATGCCCCGTGAAATTAGCCCTGGACCCTCGCAGCGAGAGATCGTCTGGTTGACATCTGCCCCGTAACCGCGGAAGGAGGATCGCCCGGCGAAGCCGGACGATCCGACTGGTCTAAAAAAGCGATGTTTTTCCTACAACTTACAAAATTTCAACCTTCAACTTCGTTGCTTTGCGACCTAATTACAATTCTACATTTTTACTTTACATATCTTGTATTTATGTCTTAACGCGCGTTAAAATGGATCTCTCCTCCAGTAAGAAAAGAGAGTCTATTCCTCACAAAAGCATGGATGAACGGGATCATAGAACATCTGGTCATCACTGAAATGTAGGCAATAGTGTATCGGACAACAAACACACTTTTTCAACGACGATCGTTCTTTTTCGGCTGTCACTGATCCTTTTGAGGTTCTCAACATGCTGTTCGGAATTATAAAACTTTATGTGATAAAGAACTTGGTGCCAAGGAAACTATTCGCAGATATAATGGCTTTATACCCGGACATCCCAAGGTGGGTTTTGCTTTGTGAACCTCAATTTTTCAGAACATTATCGCAGTTTTTTTTCAGTACGATGTCAAGCTACCTCTGTCTGATCCCAGAAATCACTATATTCCATATCGAACAGTACCGCAGGCGGATCTCAGTGTGCCATCTTTCACGGTAATCTGTTTTTTACTTTGACTATTCAGTACCTTTCTCTCTTACTCCAGTAAGTTTCCCCAATGCGTTTTCGAGTACTTGATGAGCACTTTTTCAGATAGATCGGAATACCTTGTTCTATCCTAAATTGGAAGTCGCCCTTTTCAAGTTAAACGACAATGTTAATAAAGCGTTTCTCCAGCAATTGGCTACGTAAGTGTCATATTCCCAGTTGGCTGAAAAGCTCGTTATTCAAGCAGAACCTACTTGCTATTCAGGAAAGTAGCACCACCTATCGATCTGGAAGTATTCTATCATCCCGTCACCAAAAAGCATATGGGAATGGCGATGATTGTTTTTACAACGTATGCTGGTAAGTGAATCCCGCGTCTTCTATCAAATTCAATTCTGCCGGGTTGGGAATTTGCACGGAATAAGAACACATGTGATTTCTTTCAGAGGCACACAAGTTCGTACTCGAGTACAACGGCAAAAGCATTATGGGAGGACAAGTGACTTGCTGCCACGACCCCTACTGTAGGTTTCGTAGACGTTGTACTTTAAAGAATCAAAATAATTGTTAAGTATTAGGCTGAGGAAATATATACGCGCCTTGAGCCACAAAACAAAATGTAAGAAATAATCGGTTCACTCGAATTGAGGGATGATCTTCCTTAAAGACATATCCCGCGATCAAGTGTTGCGGGTACTTGGTGCTCATTCATGAACCAGTGGCCCATAAGTAGCTCCTCAGTAGAAAAAGAAGCGAAAAAAACCTCGGGAACACCCTAAACACAGACCCCCTCAGCAGTAGGCGGCGTCTTGGACGAGTATCTCGGACGTGTAGGACTTCGATCGCACCTGCTCCTAAAACGTCCGCGGCCACGTGTCGCGCGCGGCGATTCTGGCATGCTGCCATCTTTGGTGATCCGCGCTCTCCATAGCGATTGGAGCGCAAGCTTTCAGCCGTTGGACCGTGGCGTGAACGTCAGCCAGTTCCTCGCCAAGAGATGAGATGTTCGTGTTCGGAAGTCAAAGGTCGGGAAACAAAATTTCTAGCCTTTCAAGGTCGGTAGATAAACTCTTTGATGTCGAGGAATTAGGGTAGTAACACTTGAATAGTGCCTTCATCTGAAAGATCATTAGGTGAGTCTGAGAAACACACTAACTGCTCATCTATTCACTTCCCGGATCACCACAGATGGCAAGGTGCCAGAAGCGCCGCGCGGATGTTGTACGAATAGAAGCTTGTGAGTTGTTGTCTCGTACAGCTACAGTATGACGTTGCACGCGTTACAACGCTCAGGTGTCTCTAACGCCTATCTCGCCGTTTCGAGGGACGAAAGTGGTACGCTCCCCTCTCGCACTCCTTCTCCTCTTCCTCCTCATTTTGTGTCGTCGATAAGAGTCTTGAAGATGGAGAGCGTGGTGAGCGGTCAATGGATGTTGACAAGGAACAACTGAGAGAATTAAACGAAGGGAATCTGTGATGAAGAAAATCGCCTCGAGATTGACTGCTTCAAGCATCCGCATGTAGGGGACGCAATCGAAAAAGCTTGTTGAGTAGATATCGCACGAGTTTACTCAGGATTAAACGGACATTCGCGCTGCATTCACGCAAATGAACGACCCATTTCTAGATCATATGGTGATGGGCTTGAAGCAGTAGAGATGTTGTAGTGACAAGTGGCACGCTTACCACGCGCACAGTTCGAGGGATTAAATCCTGAATCGACTCTCGCTGCAGCGGCAACCAAGCCTATATCTTTCGCGGGTACGGAACAATTGGCACCGGATTTCTCTGAGAGATACGAACAGTGACAGACAACTGACTTGTACGCGTCGCAATAGTCCCCAAGGTCTCCTCCTTTCGTAGAACTCTGGCATCCTGTTGTAAATATGATGTTCTTATCACTTCTGCGTCGAACGAGGTTTTTAGGTGGAACTTTATTCACGGCCTAACGTTTCGACCAGATCGTCGTCCTCAGAGGCCTAAGCGTAAAAGCGCTTTCAAGGGGTTTTTAATTTGCTCTCTACATCGCCAAATGCCTCGTCTCCCTAGCGTTTCCAACGGTACTTCCAGAAACAACCGAAAAAAAACACACCCGTAGGCAAAACATACTCACCAATATCTTATCGTAACATCAACACAATCCGTAATGGATGAGTGTTATCGTTTGACGAACCAGCAGTCGCAGTACATTAAGCTCACGCGAGAGATTCCCCGCAACGGTTGGTTGCCTTATTTAACACATTGCGGACCGCCGTACTGCGCGCACGTCCTAATCATTTCATCATTTTTCATAAAAAATTGATCAGTAATTTCCTCCCTATTTTCAAACGCTCATGAGGGAGGATATGTTGATAACCGAAGACGTGTTTTCACAAGAACAGAACATGAAAGAATATTCAAAATAATCAAATAAAAGACAGCATAAAGGCAAATTCATGACACATCCATGTGTGTCACGCGGTCTGGAACGTGTTAAATGCGCAGGTGAAAGTATCCGATGGCATGCTCAGTGGTGGAGTGGTACAGAAAAAGCAAGCTCTAAAAAAATCTTGATTCATGCAACTTCTGCACATCCTTCTGCCTTGAAACATGCAGTTGTCCGAAACATGTTTAGGACAGCTGCAAACGTGAGCACAGGTGTGACAGAACGACAATAGTCTACACGAATGGCTGCTGAAATAGCTAGTTCTAACGGCTATACTGTTCCGCAAACCACAGAAAGGGTTCAGTCTGAGCGCCCTAGCGTACCACGTGAGACTAGCCAAACCAAGATCCCCTTATGTATACCGTTCATATCTGATAACTTGCTAAGTGCTGCAATTCGAAGATGTCTGGCTCGAACAAGGCTGGAGGATGATGTGGTCTTAGTGAACATCCCTAAGAGCGCGTTCAGACTTCGCGATCGCGCGATCGGATCGCCGCGATCTGGATCGCCGCGATTGATCGCGCGCGATGCCGATCTCCGCTACGAGGGTGGAATATTACTGCGGAGGGGGTTATGTTGCGTATATGTTTTATTTTCGCTCTCTTTCTTCGCTTTGTGTACATAAGCGCCCTCCCTAATTTTAGAAGAACGTTGTCGAAATATGCTTGAGTTAATTATTTTCGCTATGTAAAAAGTGCTGAAAGTGATACAATATGCTAATTATTATACTGAATTTTGCATCTGAGTACGTTCAAGCGGAGTATTGAACATCTTGTTCCAAAAGTAAGACACGCAGAACTTTCAACAGCGGGTGATGTTGTTTCTCTCCTTCCCCCGATTTTGCCAGTTCTCCAGATATTCACTTTACTTTTGTCACATTGTGTTTTGCTTTGTTTGTTCTGCCATCCTCCAGGTCTATACACAACCTTTCCTTTCGACGGTTTCTGCAAACGTCAGTATTGCGAATATGAACACGGAATAAAAGACATCAAAAAAGGTCGAACTTACTTTTATATCGTTTTTGGAACTGCCTATTTTAGGCAGGATACAGCATTGTGATGTGAGAAATGGTGATATTAGTACGCTCCCTTCCCAGAACTTTGTTGTTGTTGTTTGTTGAGTTGAGTTGAACATGAACGAACATGACCCCCTCCCGCAGTAATTTCACCCTCAGTAGCGCGATCGGCGAAGTCTGAACGCGCATCGTATCAGTAGCGCGATCGCGAAGTCTGAACGCGCTCTAATGATAACATCAGGCGCCAGCTTGTGCGTAACGAGCTGCTAACGAACAGACATTGCATTTCAGATCATTGTTATATGTCCTAACGGTAAAGCAGGAGATTGCGCCAAAGCTGGCGTGATCTACCAAATCGAATGCCAGACATGTAATGCAACATACATTGGGGAGACTGGAAGGCCACTGGCAACACGTATCAAAGAACATCTTGCTGGTAAAAGGCGTGGTAACATAACAACACCGTTAGGGAAGCATCTGATCGAAGAGCACCGCGGGAGCGATTTTGATGTGAAGTGCAGGATCCTAGCGTACGAGACTGAGATCTCTGCAAGAAAAGCGCTAGAGGCATTCTGGATTTCCGCAAGGAATCCTAGAATGAATAACCGAAATGAGTGTTTAGCCATAACAAATGACCTCTTACCGTTTTCACCACATTGCGAGCTAATGATGTAAGCTATGAGACGTGCAAGTCCTGATAGCTGCTATACAAGGACGGCACAGTGAGTCTCACTTACTTTACTAACATCTAGTGGAGCGGCGTTGATCCGCTCATGCCGCGGTGGACTTGGTGAGTATGTTTTGCCTACGGGTGGTTTTTCGGTTGTTTCTGGAAGTACCGTCGGAAACGCTAGGGAGACGAGGCGTTTGGCGGTGTAGAGAGCAAATTAAAAATCTTGAGCTACGTTTAGGCCTCTGAGGACGACGATCTGGTCGAAACGTTAGGCCGTGAATAAAGTTCCACCTAAAAACCTCGTTGACGCAGAAGTGGTAAAGCATCATTTTACAACTGACTTGTACATCGCCCGACCCCCGCAAGTCTTTGTGAAGGGCATGTTGCATTCAGTAAGCCATTAAGTTTAATGGAAGCAGATTGCGTGCCGCATCCCACAAAAGGGCTGATCAACGGCTAAGACTCTTTCCTTTACCTTTTATTGTGATGTGTGATGAGAACTGGAGTATATACAGTACCCCTCAGCGAAGTGGCTGAAACAAGAACCCAGCTTCCTAACATTTCCCAAGCGGAAGCGCCATGATTTATGGTGGGTGGACAGTTGATGCGATTCACCACCATTTGGATCCATATCATCAAGCTTAAAAATATTGTCAAGAAATTAACAAAATGCAACTTGAATTTCAGTTAGTAATTCCGACACTAAAAGAACTCATTCTACTCCACGACAGCGCTCGTCTCCACGTACCAAACCCTTTCTGAATAAACTAGCTAGTTATAGTAGCCTTCATCGATCGCTCCATCTGGAGAGAATATAGAGGAGGAAAAAGACAGCACAGTGAAGCAGTGGCATTCATCGATTTCATCGGCTCTAGATCTCCAGACTTCTAAGCGAATGGGGGAAACAAGCTCTTTATTGTTGGCGATAGCGTTTGACAGTAACAGTAACAGTAGCGTGTTTCGAAGGTCATTCGAGCCGAAATTTGGTCCTTATATGAGCTTTGAGGTGGAAAAGCGCGAATTTTTTCGGGATCTATCTCGATCTTTTATTTGGAACTCCTACATAACTGCATGTGAAATAAGGCTTTTTATTGTTATTATGAGCAAATATCCCAAATGGGACGGAATTAACCTGATGGCAAACGTAGTGAAAAAGAATGGCCTATCTTAGATGTAATTAATCAACGTTGAGACCCCCACCGTTTGAAAGTTGGGATTTTTGCAGTTTCAAGCTGTTATTGTTTGATAACTGCTGTTTAACGCCGCAGTACGCCATCGGAAAGCTATCACATTAATTTATTATTTTTGCAGTACATATAACGGGCTTTAATAAGGCTAATGGCATCACCAAATTCATGTCTGAATACATTACTGCTCTGGCGGTGCTCGTGGATGGACCAGTACTTTCAGTTACATTGTTGAGCCAGCGGTATGAGGACGCTACTGGAGAAGAAATGCGAGTTCCTGTGCATTTGAAATCTCTGGAGGAGACAATCCTGAACACGCGGCGAAGCCAGCTTGCTTCGAAATCAGAAGGCAGTAAGTTTTGAATGCTACCAGTGTCAGAAAAACTGATAAAACGCTGTTTGAGATTACTATTCATTTCGAGGTTGTTTTTGATCATACACCGTTCCGAAAGTTATCACAAGAATGCTGAGTTATGGGCAAAAGTCGAACCCCAGGCGTAGATCGAACCCGCACTCACGCTTTCCGGGCAAGTATCCACTGGGAGCGTAACTTCCCTTTATGTTTCTTTCGGTATTCAATCCCTTTTTCACTGTTTGACATCCTACCTGATTCTTGGCTCCTCTTTTTTCACTTTAACATTGAATTTGCGTGCGTAACAAAATTTGAACAGAACAGAACATTGAACAGAACAGGATCGACATGATGCACCAATGGAAGACACCAAACATCAGTAGCAACCCTGAAAATGAATAATCAAAGTCGAAAACGGTATACAAAATCATTATCACAATCCGTAACAAAATCTACATTGAAAAAAACTACCTCGGATACTCAATGTTGGTGTGAAAATGAGCAGCTGAGAATCAGGTAGAAATGAAAAACAGTGAAATAGGGATTGAATACCGGAAGAAAGAACATAAACGGAAGCTGGGTCTGGTACAGTTGCAGCGCGACAATTGTAGCGCTACAAGTCTGAACGCTGCCTTACTCATAATCGCGTAACGGATAGCGCACTTGCCCGGAAAGCTCGAGGGAGTTCGACTCCCGCCTGGAGTTCGAATTCTGCCCATAACTCTTCTTGTGATAACTATTCATTTCATTTCGTTCATTCCGGTGAAAGCTTAGTGATTTCGTGCTGCTTCTGACACCTACTGATACATGTCTTCTAGCGAAACGGCGGAGTCGTACCACCACGCCTCTTCCACATTTGATGGAGCGTGTCCGCGACGTGTTCATGGACACGGAGTCACCTTCCGCTTCGTCAGCTCTTCCCACTCCGCGTCATACCGAGAAGCCCGTGGGGAACCGTACTCCTGCCACCGATTTCATCTCATCAGCCCGGTATGCAATATATTTAATTGTTTTGCATCTGAAGAGGCTGAGAGGCGAGTAATACTTGTTTCCTTTCATTTGAGATTTGTTTGCTGGTGGTAAGTTTCTTTTTCGTTCCCTCTGTTTTACTTGTGAGAACTTCTCTTTTCTTTAACTTTCTGTTCCCTTGACCCAGTTTTCAAATTTTTGCTCTTTCAAGGAAGGGCTATTCGACACCTCGTCCTCGAACACCTGAAAACGAGCCTCCACTACCTCCTCCGCCTCCGATTGCCTCAGTAGTCGGTCCACCTCCAGCTGCTTTTACGCCTCATTTTCCACCATCTATGTTGCCACCATTTCACAGCGGTACGTCTTTATTTTTGATACATCTTTTTACATGACTTTGTCTTAGATGTTTGCTTTCACCAACCCCGCATGATGCACATCCGTTTTCTCCATTCATACTCACCAAGCTTTTTTTCACAAGCGCCGACAACTGATACGTAGCGAGACTGTTGCTTGTAACGTTCTGAATTTCTCCCGTGGTTACGAGGTTGTTAGGTGGAATTCCTAATTTGGGCCTTATGGTCCGTTTAAGTCATCTCCATAAAAGATCAAATTCAACACTGTAGGAGTGGGAGATCGTTCTATCAGTTGCTATTAGGTTGTCCGGAAAGTTCTGCACGTTTTGTGTTACTATTTTTTGAACATTCATTGCTGATTAAAAACTCATTCTCCCTTGCGTCTCAGTAGTACCCTGAAGAGAATTCTTTGCGCTATCTGATGGTATAATTGCCGTTTCACCATTGCTTGATGAACCCCCTTTTTTAAGATTTTTTCAAGCATGTGAAAAGAGCACTTCGGACGATTTTTTTTTCTTCGACTATAAATTGGGGCAATCCGCAATCGAAACAGCTCAACAAATTAACCAGGTGTGGGGGCCCAATAGTGCTAGAGAAAGCACTGTGCGGCAATGGTTCAACAAATTTCGTTCTGGAGATTTCAGCCTATGAACCTCATAGCGGTCGACCTAGAAGCAATATCTGACGAGCAAAAAAAGCCTTCGTGGATTTCGTGAATTTTCGACCACCCAGTTTTTTACTTTGATGGGATTTCTCGACTGCTGTCACATTGGCAAAAGTGTGCTGATTCGAATGGTGCCTATTTCGATTAAATCCGATGAGTATTAAAAAAGTTACGATCGTTTAAAGTGAAACACCCAAAACGCTGAGAACTTTCCGGACAACCTAATATATAGGTCGATCTCGCGCTCCTGCAGCGGTGGACTTGGCCTTTGACGAGGACCATCTAGTCGAGACGTCACGCCAAATTAAGAACCCAAGAACCTCGCTAGCAAGTTTAAAACGTTAAAGCAACAATGCCAAGGTTTTACGAAGAGAAGAGCTGAACATCTTACTGCAGAATTTGAACTAGTTTCATTTATCCAATTTTCGCATACAGCTGCTTTTTTAAGGACAAACTGTACACTCTTCTTCGTGGGTCTTGGTCCTTGTCATGTGTGAGGTGAACGGGTGCGCAGCAGCAACAGCCTGTCCCTTGCAGCGCTCAAAAAGGCATGGGAACGCGGTTGGGAGCTAGTGATCCCGGTTGCCGTTCCCATACTCCGCCCGTGCTGCCGCACAGCCGCTCAGGTTGCTGCGGGATTTCAATATCGACGATGCTCAAGGATAACCTGGGCGGAGTCGCGAGGCCACACCCAGCTGTCACAGCACTCCACCCGCGTTCCCGTGCATTCTGAGAGCAGAAGTGGCACGATTCTGCATGTGCGGACCCACTCACCCCGCACATGGAGAAGAATCGTCCGCGGAGGTGAGTGTGCAGTTTGATTTTAAAGTTTCATCGCAAAGGTGTTGGCTTCTCGAGGACCCGGGTTTTGAAATTGTGCAATCACGTAACCTACTTCTAACTTTGTTCTGCACTACGCTATTTTCTGACCATAGACCACAGACAAGCTATAGAGCGGCTGTTCTCTTTTAGGACTTTAAAGTTTTGAATAGAGTTACTATTGCCGGCGCTTGTGAGCATATTTGCTCAGCTTTTACTAAATGTTGTTTCGTTTGTGGTTGCTTGTGCTTGTTTTTTGGCTTACAGGTCAGAGTTGTGCTGACAGTGAAGGACTGACCAGTAACCCAGAAGATTATCGACGACGTGGGTGCGGCGTTTGTTCGCCTGCTTCGATTTCTTACAACGACTACAGTGGAATGCCTCATAACAACAGCGGCTTCTGGTCTCCGTTCTCATACTATTCAACCGGAAACACCTATAATTCCCTCCCGAATGACCTTCAATCTACATCGTGCTATTCATATAGTGCGTGCTCCCCTGTTGAGTCAACAAGTGGTCGCCTAAGGCACGGATACGCTGGCTTTGGAGACGAATATGGAGAACGTTCGGATTTCCAGCGAAGATCTCGATATTACGACAGGCGGTGGCGTTGTCTGCAAGCTGAAACTCATGCGTCTAGATCCCCGTATTACAGAAGGCATCATGGAGGTGTTGGAAATCCTTTTCGCGGTTACAGAACGCCACCACTACCGCGTGCAAGTCGCAGGGAAGATCATCGACAAGGAGATTTCGTCATAAAACGATATCGTTACGACGTTCCCCCTTCCCATTTGTCGTGTAAGTCAAGCAATCGGGACATGAACAACAACAGTTCGTGCAGCAATGGTCATGTGGAATCTAACACTCCGAATCATCCTCCGCGGAAGAAAAGTCGATGGGATTGTGCACACGGTGCTGAAACTACGGAAGGTCTTATAGATTTTATCCTTCTATGTTCATTCGACTTTCATAGGGCCGAGATATGGCAGGTTCTCTTTTTCCTCCCAAGGGTAGTGCCCGCTGTCAGTTTGGTTCTTTTTGATGAAAGACTGATTTCGAAAGCCATCCTTTCTCTGTTACTTGTCAGTATCCTTCAACAGGTAGCTTGACTTCGTGCATATTTCACATATTCAAGCCTAAAGACACTCTCCGCGTTCAAGTGTCATGGCTAGTTGCTGTTCTGTTATGAACAGTAGCTGAAAAGTGATTCCAAAGAAGAGAAAAAGCAAAAAAAAAATCTCCAAGAGCATCATAAACATAATGGCTATTTCACAGTCACACAGCCTCATTGTACGATTTGTCCGGACTTGCTGGCTACTCGACGCCCTGCGATCTCTGTGCAACACCTGGCTTAGAGATAGCTTTTGCGCATCTCCCAGTTATAAGTGCCATGCTTTGAAAAAAGGAAACTGAAAAAGAATAAAAACACGACGAAATTTCAGACAGAAAGCTAATTTTGAAAACTTCGCGTACAAACTTACGATTACGGTAGCGATGCACGTCGAGTTTTTGCACCGAAAAATTGCATCATTGGTCTTTCGAACAAGTCTCACCTTGAAGGTGGGTTGCTTTTAACAGAATGTGCTCCTAATGAATAAATGGAGGAGAGCAGAATTACTTATGAGCACGAGCGCAGTATAAAAAAATAAAAAATATAAGCGCAGTTCGGATTTATGCCCGCCAAACAACTAAGCGCTACTGCATAGGTGTGGAGAGGAAGTTCGTGGGGTGGGCGGTCCAACTAAGCGGGCGTTAGAACTAAAACATTCGGTGGCTCTAGCACCTTCCTCACTCGCTACGGAGTCGGGGATGTGAGTGGTGAGACAGTCTCTCAGCTTGGCGGCTCGGCTACTTCCACAAGGAAGGACGCGAACGCGAGGACCAAGTAAATATAGGTGTCGGTTTGTCCTTCAAAGGATTGTTGTAGATGTAGGGAACATATTTTAAATCAACGTTTTATATTAGGACATTATTGGTAATCTTCGGGATCGTGGTGTCATATCGAAGCGCATCTTCAGGTCTCTGTTCCGTTTTCTTGATTGTATCACACGTACTTGAATTTTATTCTTTTGCGGCATCACTTGGAAAGTAGTTGATGCTGTTTCAGTACCATAAAATAACCATTAAAGACACGTCCTAGTTTAGAAATGGTCCGTCGAGCGGCTCAAATACTAGTTACAACATGACAAATAACACACAAGTGAAGAAAAAGGCAGAGAAAAACCAGCGCGAAATGACTCGGCCTCATATCGAAACCCACGTTAAACCACGCTTGTATATGCAGAAAGTCAAAAAAGGCGTGCTTGTAAGAGATCCCACTTATTGGTAACATTGGTTACCCTTCCTTCTCCTTATCCCCGCACTCTCACCGCTGGACTCAGGGAGAGTAGTAACGGAACAACCGCGCCACTACGAAGCGTTCGGAAATGAAAATTGAGCGTTGCCGTGAGCAGTGGCCGGCTCCGTGGCCTCGTCGCGAGCGGCTCGCGCTACTCTAACGTACCTTTGAGCTGCGAAAGTAGTATATTCCCATGCTTGCCTAGAGCACCACATCTCTAATGAATTGTCCGAAAATCAATTGAAGACTTCAAGCTTCTGTAGAAGTGATCTGGGATAAACGCGAAAACAAGCTCATCAAAAATCGGTTCGTCATAATGAATCAAACTGACCATCAAAAATACTGCATTTAAAATGGCAAACGAACCCTATTTCGGCTCTTTGTCATTCCTTTCATGCTAAACATACTCTGGGATCGCATATATGTTTTCTAGCTTTATTCAAGGCATACATGGAAGGGGCTTCGGAATTTCCCAGTTTTGCCAGCTTTACTGTGTTATATTTGTGCAGTGGTAGCGGTGGTGGTGTGCTGTGTTGCTATTTGATTATTTATCTTTGCATTGGTTTTTTTAGTAATTTTCACTTCAAATCAAGAGGGGCTTGTTTGGAGAGTACGTGTAATTAATATAAAAGAGCAGTTAATATCGACTTCCGCAGAATTTTCAAAATGGAGTGAAATTGCAATTGCAGTAGCTTGCCCTTTCGTTGAGGTGACCGTGGCTAAAAGAGATGTGTGAATAGGGCTTTCCCTGTTGCCGAGGAAAATTTTTACAAAATACGACCCCTTTCACCGAAGTTGCTTTTTTGGTATGACCCTCCTCTTTTCCGCCATTCTACCTACCACCGCACTGACTTTTCCCAGCTCCCGCCTCTTTTTCACAGTTTTACACGACCTCAAGAAATTTTTCCAGCTCTACCCAGAAAACTGACCCCGTTAGGGAAAAAAGAGAGAGGAGTATATGTGAATGAAAGCAGCGGAAAATCAGCCACCCGAAAAAATGGTCTCACGCACGCAAACACGGTCCCCCCTACCAAAACGGGAGTCCCAACGTTGTGGATAGCGCACGTGAAACAGGAAAAATAAACTGTCAAGAAAATTTCTCAGGCCAACACTGCCCTTCCTCCACCGACTGGATACGACCCTCCCCCCTCCACCCGCTGGAAGTTCTCCAACCTACGGCGTAACCTGGTGTGATAAAAAGCTACACTTGCACATCTGGCAGGCTGGATGGCAGTGGACTAAAGTTGCCAAGGCATTTCTTTATCAACCTTCATCCGGCCTCTTCTAGAGTCATTGAGTATCATTAGTTCGTGAATATTCTGCACTCAAATGTGAAGTTAATTTTCAAGCCAGTTTTCAGAACGTTTGGGGCATTGGTATGTTGGGTTTTTTGTAGAGCTAACAAGAACGTGATACGTTTGTAATCTTTCCCCATTCTTGTTCGTAATTTTGAACAGTTTTTTCTGCAGTGAAGTTTGTCTGTTATTGAAAGTCGTTGCACTCTACCACGCTGCACTTTAATTATAGTTAATAATTGCTTAGTTTTCACCATTACTTCTTATGTCGTCTGTATTTTGTTCTTTTCAGACTTCGCTGCCCCTCATCTGCGCCCTGGAACTAGCAATTCCATTTCGCCGGCACCTCCTTTGAGCTCAGGATTCGTTGGTGTTGCTTATCCTCCGCCACCACCATACTCTGCTCTACCGCTCGCTGGTTCGGCATCTTTTCCGCCGAATTACCCTCACCTGCCAGCTACCACGTCATTGCCCAATCTCCCAACTGTTGATGGTAGGTTATTCCGCAGGTTACCTTGCTTGCTAATCATGATTGTTCTGGTAGCATAAACAATTATGAGTTTACCAGAGCTCAAGCTTGCATATTGTAGATGACATGGCGACAGCCTCACAGCCGCCTCTTCTCCCTTCAGAGTCGAACCGGGGGAAAAGAGACTGCAGAAGTAGGCAAAGTAAAAAGAAGAAAAAGAAAAGGAGAAGGTGCTGTTTTTTTTTCATGGAATAATTCATCGCTAGGAAGCAGTTCCCTCATTCTATACTTTCATAACCGTTCTGAATTTTAGGCATTCGTCTAATTCATCTTCTAGTGCTTCAAGTTCGAATTCTTCACTGAATATTGGTGAATATCTGCGTGTGGAGAAAAAGGAGATGAGGTTAGTAGGACTACATTTTTGCTTTTTATTGTTGTACAATGTTATTTATCCTCAATCATATTGCCATCTCAATCTTTCCCTTCGCATTCTCTGTTTTTGGCTGATTTTCCATTTTCAGTACGAAGTATATCTCACGAGAGCGGGAAGGTCTCGAAAAGACCATTGTTGAGGAGATCAAGACAGTGACAAAGAAGAAGAAATATCGTGTGACGGAGTCGAAGAGAAGTGACGCCAAGGTGACTGATGAATTTGTGGCGCTATGTTCCTTTGCTGCCACGCTTTTCGAAATTTGTGCCAGATTTCACTTGAAAAAATTTGTGTCAGATTTCACTTGAAACTCTCACGGATTGGTGTTGAGCTACATTTTGCCGCAGGGATAGGTTTCGACAATTTGAGGAGTGTAGGTGTTAGCGAATGGCCCACGGGCGTCAGACAATTTTTTTGTTTATATGGGTATATTTTCCGTGTTCAAGAGATCAAATTGCCTTCAGAGAGGAATATGAGCAATATTTCTAATGAACCTCATCGACATCTGTAGAGCTATTTACCTTTTTCTACGTGGCTTGCCAAAGCTAGCCAGGTTTTCATAGAGGTTTTCTCCTGCTGGTAGGGTTCGCAAAAGTTTATTGGTGTTCTGGCCTCCTTAACACAGATATCACATTCACTTGGAGAAAAAAAAACGCTTGCCGCCGGCGTCAAAACACCTAGAATCACCACAGTTGTTGGCACCTGGCTCTCACATAATGCTCTTGGTCGGTGTGTGGGTTACGGGGATGCGCCAGAATCGGTTCCCAGCACCGGTGCCGTGGGTGGGCGATAGAGTTCTCGTCGAATTCACAACTCCTAATTGGTCAAGACCTGGCTTGAAGTCCGATCAGTATGTAGCCTGAAAAATAAAGCCTCGACTCGTAGCACAGTGACAAGTAAAGAACGCCGGAATTTCTCAATCTGTTTTTCAGTGCCGGAATTTTTCTATCTGTTCTCTTAGAATAATACTGAATTTTTCCAGAGTTCGGGACTGCAGATGATTAGCAGCGACGAGTCTGTAGAAAACTCGGATGGTGCAGAGGTTGACGATGGAAAAGGCAAGAAGTAAGCCAAAAAGAAGCATTGGAATATCCGAAAAGAAAGGCATGGGTAGTTGCACTGTGGTCACCAAGTGGAAGATGGATTTTGTGAGCGTCAACAAAGAGCCAAACAGGAACAAATAGCGTTT